TTTCCAGCTTAGGTCTCAGCATGGATACTCTCTCACTTTTAATCCACTCTCCAGGGCCTTCAATCTTCTGAGCAATTTTTCATCCCCAGGAAAAGCTTCCAAAGCTCTCCCTCCTGTACTGTTACAGAAGACGGGAGACTTGAGAGACCCAGCAACCAAATGCCATGAGTGGACTTAGTTTGGATCCTGATTTGAACAAACCAACCATAACAGAACATCCTCGAGAAAAGTGGGGACATGAGTACGAAATGTGTATCCCAAGGATATTAAGGAACTACTCCTGCTTTTGTCAGGTGTGATAATGACTCAGCGGAAAGAGCAAAAGGAAAAATCCTCATCAGAGATTCAAGTTGAAGAATTTATGACTTAAATACGTCTGAATGTGCTTTAAAATACCCCAGGAAAAGGAGTGGTGAAGAATGAGAGGTGCCCTGGCTGGTTTGGCTCAGCGGTTAGAGCGTCGGCCTATGGTCCAGAGAGATCTGGGTTCGGTTCCCGCTAAGGGCACGTACCTCGGTTGCATTTTGTCCCTGGCCCCAGTTGGGTTCGCGTGGGTGGCAGCCACTCAATGTGTCCCTTTCACGTCGATGTTTCTCTCTCTCTCTTCCCCGTTCTCTCCCTCCTGCTCTATCTGAACATAAATGCAAAAATGTTGTCTGGTGAGGACAAAAAAAAAGAATGAGAGGTACATGCTCACTGCTGAAGCTGGGTAATAGGTACATGGTACATAGGTACATGAATTCACCTCACCAGTCTCAATATTTTTGTGCATATTTTGAAATTTTTCCATAACAAAAAGTTAAAAACAAAAATTCTCTCTTTTAAATTTCTGCAATCTCCTTTTTAATCTCCATTTCCCAGTCCAGGTTCCTGACCCCAATCCTGGTTCACCCCCATCCCTCCAAATTCTACTTGGACCTTCTCCACGGTTTGGGGCAGGGCAGAGAAGGGTGTTGACAATGTTTCTGCCTTGGCCTCCCCTAACTTTTCTCAATCAGAATTCACCTCTTTCCTGTTTCTGGAAGACTGGGTACCTCTATTTTATCACTCACTACAGCCTTTCCCATCTCTCAGTTGGTTAGGTCCCCATTTGTCCCAGAAACGAAGTCTTTTATTCAGGAGTTGTCTTGTCCTTATCTGTCGCCTCCCTCCAGAGCCAGAGCACAACTGGCGTTTGTTCAACTGAACTGGCCCTTTCTGCTCCTCAAGTATACCCACTGTGGGTCTCTCCCCCAGGCAGAGTCTTCACAGGCTACGAGTTTCACAGACAAAGGAGAAAAGGCCATTGAGTTCCACAGACATTTGCAAAAGCCAACACTGGGGATGGTATCTGGGCACAAAGCCACCTCCCACATGGGCCAACTGCACCAGATGATGGAGTGAGGTGGGAAGCCACCACGTTTTAACCACCTGCAGGAAAAGATGGGCGGTACGGGCGGGGGGTGCACGGAGGAGACCCTGGCTCTCCTGTCATTCTTACTCCATCTGCATCTGCAGAATCACTGGTGACCACCTTCCCAGTGCAAGGGAGCGATCGTGTGCCATGTGCATCTGTTTGAGAGCAGGACAGGCTGCTGCCTTCCCCAGCAGTGACTCCAGCTTCCTTGGGAACAGTGATCCAGGAAGATGTCACACACTCACCTTCCCCTCCCCAACAGTCCAGGATGGTATTTGCACAGAGCACAGCCGCGACTTTTCATTAACAGCCCGGTGAGTGAAAACTCTGACAACAGATGGGGCTGCCCACAGAGCAGGGCCCCAGGCCTTCCTCCCTCTCAGTACCTGAGCCAGGGACACTCAGATACTAGGGGTCACAGCCCTGCCCCTTCTGTTAAAATTCCAGCTGTGGGCGTATGGGGAGAGGCTCTGCGGGCCCCCGGGCGGGGCCTCCCTGGGTTCCCCTCAGTGTCAGGTATGATGCCAAAGGGTGACACTTGTTGGACTGGCCAGGTGACGGAGGAAGGTCACGGTTTTCTCTGATTTTCCTGAAAGACTTGGGGGGTGTTTCTCAGTTCACTTCTAGTTGTCTTTGAAAGTTCTTAGTACAGAAAAGGATCTGTTCATAAAATGTCTAAGTGACAAATCACTACCAATGACTGGACTTGAACATAAAGATTGCACTCCTATGAGGAAAACCTCTTACGGTTCTGACTATCTGGCTGACTTCAGACAAGTCCTGGCCTATAAAACGCTGCGAAATCAGGGTTCCCGGTGGCTCACCTCTGAGGACCTCCCAGCATGGAGAGTGTGTGGCTGCCGCCGCAATTCTAAATAACACTCTCCCTCCCTCTTCCCAGGCTCCCTGATTCAACTCATTATCAACATCTTACTCCTTTGTTGCATTTTATTTCGATGTTCACAAGCAAATTTCCCCTGAGTTGCTCAATCACGGGCTTCCTTTTCTTAGGAAACCTGGCTGTCTGAGGTCAAGGTCTGTTGACATGGCCAGAGGACCTTTAACATTTACAGTGTCTTATGCCAAGTGAGTACAGCACATCCTGTGACAGGGCAGATAAGTTCTCAGGGAGATCAGAGATGGGTCATTTGGCCCAATTCCCCCAGGCAGGGCATGGGAACAGCTCTGCCATCTTCCATTGATGCCAAGATGCGCATTTTTGGATCTCTGTAATCAGGACCTCTCCCCCAGTCCACGGCATCACACCAGGACTGTCGGTCTGAAGTGAAGGCAGGTGTTCATGCTGCGTCTGCCAGCCACCAGGGGCCACCCAGCCTCAGACCGTCTGACATTAGAGTCTCTGCCTGAGGTTCCTTTGGATCACACTGACTGCAAATTCCGAAAGCATGAAGACCACCACCCGGAGCTCCTCTGTTCTCAGGGGAGGAGTCTGCATCCCGCCACCTAGTGTCAAGGTCGGGACACACATGTTCTCTTGCTCTTCCTTTCTCACGGTGGCCTTGTCACTCACCCTCTCGGGGAGGGTGTTCCAGCTTTGTGTGTGTGTGTGAGGGGGGCTCCTATTAGACTTCCCATCTTGGGCTTTTATCTTTCCTATTTTTCCTACCTTTCTTATTTTTGGTACATAAAATAATGATGTGTCTTATATTTGATGAAAATGTGGTTTCTTATATTTGGTGAAAAAAGTTTCTGTTATAAATATTATATATGATATTTGAAATGATCCAGCATGTTAATAGAAAAGGAGGTAGAATCCTGAAGAACTTGTTTCATGGGGTCACAATCTCACACCTCGTCCGAAACCACTTCCCGTCTGTGCAGCTCACCGGGCATTTCCCCCAGCACATCGGGCCACTGACTAGCCCGGCACCCAGCATGGCTCCCCGTTACTCTGGGGATAAAGGCAGAACTCGATAATACGGCAAAGCCTTGCTGGTGCTGTGTCCTCTCCAGTCACATCAACGCAACCCTCTTCTTCTCTCCTCTCCAGCTTCCTTTCTATCTGCAGAATGTGAGCCTCCCGCGACCCCTCCCACCAGAGTCCCGGCATGTGGCTCTGAGGGAACAATCCTTTCTCCCCGTGTGCCTCCTGATCTCAGCTCAGATCACCACCTCACGGAGCCTCCCCTGACTAGATCAACCCACGGCAGGCTCCGGCAGCGCTGCATACTTCCCTTTCACGGCATATGTCCCAGCTGCAGTCCTATAATTCTAGAATGTTCTTGATTCATGTTGGAATCCATCAGTGGGCTGCAAACTTTATTAAGGCAGGAAACATGCCTGTTTTCTCTTAGCTTTGTATCCCCAGTGCCAAGCCGAGTGCCTGGTACTTGGTGGGTGCTCAGAAATTATTTGTGAATGGACGGGTGGGTGAATCTGCGTACAACCTGCCTCGGGAGCAGAGAGTAGAGTCCTGGAGCCCCAGGCAGTCAGGGGAGGCAGAAAGAGAACAGACTTACTGGGAGACCTCCACTTTGCCACTGTCATGATCTTGGACAAACAATATCCCTCTGTTTCCTCATCTCCAAGTTGGGAATAACATTTCCCCTGCCTCTCCGACAATGTTTTGTGAATCTGTTAAGATACTTTGAAATGATACCTCTGTTCCCCCACCCCGAGCTTCCAGCACAATGCTGGGCCCACACTCACGCTCCGTCTCTCTGAGCCAGATGACTGGCTCTGGAAAAGGGTGATAAGATCACACAGTCCTCAGGAAGGTGTGCCCAAAGCTTGGGGTCAAGAGGGGACCACTGAACCTTGTGCTTCTCAGAGTTAATGTCCACACTCTTCAAAAACCCTCGTGGACTTTCTTAGACCTTTCAGGGCCCAGTGCCCTCAGCATGTAAGAAAAGGAACCTTCTTGCTGAGTCTCTTTTGGAATTCATTCCCTACACGAGGTTGCGGCCCTTAGCCAGAGGGGTAGCTGAGATGCTGCCCCTTTCCTCCTGCTCTGTGGGCAGGTCTTCAGACAGCCACAGGATGCATGGGAGCCATGAACTGTGCCCTCGAGGACCAACTTCTCTGACAATCACCTACCTGAAGGTGTGAGGCATCCACCTATACCTGGCAGAATACATGACGTTGCTTATTTTACCTCTAGGATCCGAACTTTACTATTAAGGTGGATATTTACAGCAAAACCTCACAGTTTCTTCCATAGACCTCGGCTTACAGTCAGGCATCCCAAGTTTCTGTTTCATCTGTATCAACGAGCTATGAATGACCCTGAGTAAATCACTTTCCCTCTCTGAGTCGATCTCCTCAACAGTTACATGAAAATAACAGTAATGACAATAATAATACCACCACCTTCCTGTCTCACAAAGTTCTTTTAGGGATCAAAGACATAAGGATCAAGGATGTAAGTGCTTGGTAAGCGATGTCAATGCAAATGAGAAATAATATTTCCTCTGTGCGTTTTAAATTCCTCCTTCTGAAGCAGGAAAGCACTAAGCTGACTTACTGTTCTCCCTGGTTAACTCAATATTACCAGAGAGCTGCGATCCATAAGGCATATGGGCGGGAAGTGAAATGTGCACAAATCCATGATCATAAACCAGCTACCACGCTTCTCCCCAGGGCCAGCTGTCCTCCCTCTGGAGAAAGATACATCGAAGGGTATTTACTCTCAATTATTTTAATAGCTTGGCTGCCCCGCCAGCCACCATCCCAGATTTTGAGAGGAGGTGCAGAATGAGTAACTCGATAGTATCTCTGTGAAGTGGGTAGAAGTCCATGCTACAGACATACATCCCTGCAGGATAATTCTAGCTGATGCCCAGCAGGGCAGTTGGAACATGCTTCTGCAAGCCACCCAGGAGGCATTACTGACTAGATTCTGGTGCTCACAGCTTCAAGCCGGCCAAGACTTCTTCGCGGCCTGATCTGCCGCACAGCTCCGCTAGCGGCTCCCTGGAGTCCCGGCAGAACACAGAGGCCAGGCCATCCGGGCGCCCACTCTCCAGCTGGCAGCCGCCCACCAGTTCTTGGATCCATTGTAGGTCTGCTGAGAGCTCCTGCCTCAGAGCTTCAAACTGCAGGTGCAGGTGGTCCAATTTCCTGGCCATGCTTCCGATGCTGGACCCTGTGGTCTGGATGTCTTTTCGCAGGAGCTTCTTCAAGGACTCCACTTTGCGGAACTCGTACCTGAGCTGAGACAGGTCATGCCGGGCGCTCTCACTCTCTTCTCGGTACCAAGCTTCCTTCTCATTGAAGATGGAGACCAGGGCCTCCACATCGTCCTGGATGGTGTCATGGGCCCCTGCCAGGGCATGGCATCCCTGGTCTACCCGAGCCACATCCTCCATCACATGGGCAAAACGCTCGAAGTTGACGTAGGTGTTGTTGGGAGGCATGCTTGAGTGACATTTAATGGTGTACTCTCTCAGGCGCTTGGTCTTCAGCTGGGTGGGCTCTGTCTTCCGCTGCTCTGGGGCTCTGACTTCTCCTTTGGACTGGTGGGTGTTTAGATAGAAGACCCAGAGTTAATTTCACACCTGCTCCAAAGAGCAGTCCGAGGTGGAGGCAGAAGGCACACGAGCAGCCTCTTTGGCATTCACTGCATGCGCCAGGCCATGGGGAGGACCAGGGTGGGATGAGCACCCCTCCAGACCATAAGCAAGGCGGAGGAGATCAGAGGTGCTGCCTGCATGCTCACCTCAGGGCAGGGTGGTCCACGGCCGTTAGAGGGTCTTCACACGCATAGCATTTAGGGGCGCTCGCACAGACAAGCAGGCTGCGGCGGACTCTGCAGCCTCTACTCAAGGCCAGGAGCACACAAGGCCGTGTCTGACAGAGGGAGGCTGAGTGGCCTCTTGCTGTCAGGGCCAGTCAGCTCCCTGGGCCTTGGCAACATTCGGCAGGCTGAGCGGGAGGCAGCCCAAGAGCCTGGTAACTCTGTGCTCTGAGCCCACCCAAACCCGGAGAGCCCTGGGCCTTCCCCAGCCTTCAGGAGGCAGAGCAGCCGGGCCTTCCCTGGAGCACTCCAGCCCTCCCCACTCTCCATCTTGCAGAGTCCTCTGCCCCTTCTCATCTGCACCCTCAGGTCAGCCTTGCCGGCTCTCATTTAACAGTCCAAGCGAATGAGAAGTCCAGCTGCGTCCCTGGAGCGCACATCCGCTCAGTTAACAGTCCCAGTCACCTGATTCCCACGCTCCCAAAACGCTTTTCATAGCACTTTACTGTGACTGGACCACAGATGCTCTGGAAAACCAACAGCTGGAAGCATAGTTACAAAGCGGGTTAGGCAGGGAATCCCCTCTGTGCTCCTGCCCCCCCGCCCTCGAGGAAACAGAATTGCCCTAAGAGAGTGGCTACCTCTCATCCCCAGGCCTCCATCTCAGAGCCCATTCCCTGAGGTCTCACGGTGCCTGAGGAAGCCAGCACTGGTTTAAGTATCATCCTTCACTCAGAGCCCCAAAGTCAGGAGGAGCCCTGGTAAGAAAGCTGAGATTTTTCATTGTTATCAATCTCTCTCTACAATCGGGGAGTCGTGATTTCTGCTTTGAGAATGGCAGCGATATACCATCTGACAAAGAATGCTTTGTAGGATGGCCCCAAAGAAAAGGTTACAACTGAGATTTAGAAGGGTTGCATTTCATAAGTCACCCAAACCCATGAAATAGAAACTTAAACCTATAAACCTATTTGAAAAAAGCCCCAGAACCTTCAGAGCCCCCAGCTAGCATTCACCTGTGCCCATAGGTCAGTATTTCAAGCAAAGGCCTTTCCACGGGCCCTCTGCATACAGCACCCCAGGCAGCCCCGCGAGAGCAGAGACCTTCCTGTTCACTGGCGCGCATCACTGTGCCCTTACCGTGATCCAGGGATGTCTGAGAGCCTCTTGGATTGTGAGCCGTTTCCTGCAATGAGGACCAGAAACAGCGATGATCCATGAGGACAGAAGCTGAGAGCAAAGGTCTTAATTCTTACACTTCTTAGACCTGCATTTGGCATTCTTTGATCACTGCTATCAAACTAGAAGAATGGGGGATGCAGAGATGGATGGGAAACTGGCTGAATTCTCCGCACTCTAGAGAAAATGGTCCAGGCAGACCCATCTACAGAGTGACATTACATACACCCTCATCTCAGTCCCAAACTTGAAGAGCCTAATGCCACACTGTGAGAGTCGTAAGTGCTCTTTTGAGCTTCCAGCGTTCCATTGTTAAATCTTTGGCCTCTGTTTTTCTGTTTGCCTCCCAGATCCCTTCTTTGCTCTTCCCTTCACTGTACCCAGGTAGGGTGACCCTGCCTAGCTCTGCCCTTAGCTGGAGAAATCAAGCTCTTGTAATGTAGAGGACCCCACTCTGGCTCTCTCTGAAGTCTGTAGGACCAAGAAGACATGACCTTGTAGAGTCTGTGGACTTTCCTCCTGCCCCCTCTAGGCCATGCTCTGGGCACCCAATACCCTACAATTCCCTGCCCATCTCCTGCTCTGATCCCACAGCCACGGAGCTCACCCTGGGTCTGAAGAAGGGTAGGATCATCATGACTCCCATTCTCCCATCATTGGCCCCTCTGAGCTCGCCTCTCCCAGCTCCCACCTGCACTGGCTTGAAACCTGCTGCTTTCCTTTTCAAATTCTAGTTCCAGGTGCCTCTGGGACAGACTGTACAAGGTAATGAGCCCTAGAGAAACCCATTACACACACACACACACTGCACACACATAGACACACACACAGACACACACTGCACATACATCACGCACGCACATACAGTTATTTGCATTTCAGCAGGAAATAAAGCAGAGACTTGAGCAAACAAGATGCATGCCAGTCCACACTTCTCAGCACCTGCCCAGATTAGACCACATGGTACAGGTGACAGCCTGTGACAAAGTGGGGACAGACCGACATGTCTTGGGGAAAAGCAACAGGTGCAGATCAGTACCTGAACCTTCTCTGTCCTCTTACCGGGTTTCTTTAACCAGAAGCTTCCGAATAAAATCCTTGGCCAGCTCGCTGGTCTGGCTGAAGAATTCCTCATCAAAGTCGTAACTCACAGCTGTGATATTTGCCAGCGTTTCCTGCTTCGTGTCTCCCAGGAAAGGGGATGCTCCACTTAGGCTGAGCACACAGAGGGAGAACACGTGACTGTAGGAAAGTAGATGGAAGTGGGGGTGATGGGCTTGGGGAACCCTGACTCAAATTGTTGCATGGGGTTGGGAGGCTCCCAGCAACACTGCCTGACCCCTCTGGACAGCCAGTCGGCAGCCTTTTCATTGAGTCCGATTCAATACACTTCATGGAGCTCCTACTAAGCCCTTGACAGAGAAAAACTGTGTCCTCAAGAGACTGGAAAGAGGAGGGGGGAGAAACACAGCAGAACAAACCAGAAAATAACAGAAGGCCAGACAAAGGACTGTGGAAGCACAGGATGGAGGGGGGCCCAGTGCAGGCTTCAGGGAGACCTGACACTTGCATCAGCTGTGTCTCGAAGAATGAAGAGGTTGTCAGCAGTCAGAGAAGGAGATGGAAGGTCTTCTGGGCTAAGGGAGCATTTTGAGCAAAGCTGACCACTGTGGAAGCAGATGGGCCATCAGGGACTAGAAGAGAGTGTGAGGTTCCCCTGCAGGGTTTGTCAAGGAGGTGTCATTCAAAGAGTGACTCCAGAGTCTGCTGTCTCCTGACACATATTCCAGTTGTTCATGGGAAACCTTTACCTAGATGTACCATTTCCCCAGAAGTCACTGTGCCCTCCTTGAGCTCCCTGCCTTGATTAATGATGTCACTTCACAAATGTATCCGAGCTGGAACCACAGGGGTCACCTCTGATTCTTCTTTTCATTTCCTCACCTCATCTAACTGGCCTGAAAGTTTTGTTGGTCAAATGTCTCTTGAAGGTCATCCCCATCCACACTGCCATTTACTTAGCATAATGCATTGGAAAATATTTGATATTTCAGTCTTGGGTTTGAATTCCAGCTCTGTCACTCATTAGCTGAGTGAACCCAGGTAAGTTACTCAATCTCTTGGAGCTGCAGTTTCCTTGTCTATAAATGAAGAAAATGAAGTCTCCACCTCATGATTATTGTGAAGGGTAAATATATAAAAAATGCTCCATGCAATCCTGGCCCATACTAAAGCTCTGGAATTGATGGCCATTATTATTGTCATTGTTAGAACTCAGAGAACCTTCTGTGACCCCCCATTGTCTGTAGGATCGCATCTAAACTCCCGAGCAAGGTATCAGAAGTTGGTCCCTACCACATTCTCAGTACATGTTACCACATTTAACATGCTAACTCTTCCCTTCCTTAGCAGGACAGCCCTTCCCTCCTTTTACACCTGGAGAATTAACCTCATTATGTAAAGTCCAGTTCAAATGAAATCAATTAATCAATCTCTTTCTCCTCCCCCATTAAACCTTCCAAAGCCCCAGCAGACCCTGCCTCTCTCCATCTGGGTCTCACACCTCCACTATAACCTTGGTCCCACGGGGTGACAATTAGCTATCTGGTGTCGTTCCTCAACACAGCTAGCTCCAGACATCACGTTGCTATCCCAAGTGTCTGGCACACGCCCACCATGGAGCAGGATCTCAAGAAACTGTATGGAACTCAAAGGAGCTACAAGAAGACTCTGTGCCCTGCACACGCTGGAATTCTTTAACATTCCAACACCGGAGTTCTGAAAAAACCCAACGTCTCAAGAGCCAACGTCTGAATAATCTGGCTCTGATTTGGAACTATAGGGCAATGCATCAGATTCTCTCTCTTTGCATCAAACTCCTCGGGGGTTTTTAAAATATACTGTTGCCCAGATCCCACACCCCGAGCAGTTCTAATTTAATAGAGCTGGGTGGGGCCTGGACCATGGTTGGTAATAAAAGGTCTTATGTGCAGCCAGGGTTCAGACACTCTGCTGCAGCTCAAGGAAGTCCCCCACATCATACAGAGCTCCCAGTCCAAGTACTGCTGGAAGAGTTAGAGAACTGGTTTATGGGGTGTTGGGAGAATGATCCCCTCAGCTGTGAAGTCTGGCTGCGGGCTGACCCTTACCCAGTGTTCCACAGAAAGGGTATTTTCCAAGTGTGCTTCTAGGGGAAACCGGTTGGGGAACACTGATGGAATGAACACCTACTACTCAGCCACGGACTAGGTACCAGAGTAGTGCTAGGAAATTTGCACGTCAGCTTATTTAACTCTCACAACACACCCTTGGTGGGAAGTTTGGGATTCCTATTTTTCTGATGAGAAAAACAGACCCAGAGAGAGGTTAAGAATCTGCCCAGGGCCACAGAGATGGAAAGTGTCAGATCACTACACAGAGCGCTGTGCAGGAAACCTCTGCTTAAGCAACTTAATGCTCGAGGAACAGGAAAGAGAGACTCTGGGGAGAAAGGAGGAGGGAGGATGTGAGAGCTGGGAAAGGAAGGGAGAAAGGGAGAGAAGGAGGCAGGATCAGAGAGGGCACGGCAGCTTGTGCGCTGTCTCCGGGCTTCTGAGTGAAAGCAGACATTCCCGCAGCGAACTTGGGTCTGGGTGAAGCTGAGCGGTGGACCCCTGGCCACGCGGGGAGGCAGACACAGGCTGCATAGTGCAGAGGGCCACCAGCTGCTCTGCTGGGTTCCTGCCCAACACCAAACCCAGGGTCAAATGTGTGAAATGGAGCTAAGTGGGCTTAGCCTCAGGTTTGCTGTGTGGACCAAACACATCTGGTTCAGTGTGGGTGCTCAGGAAATGCCTGTCTGTCTGCTTGCCCCTCTCTCATTCCTCCCACTTCCCCCAGGTCTAAGTGGGGTGGGAGGCCAGGGATCAGAGATACTCACAGGATGTAGGTGATGACGCCTATGCTCCTGCAAAACAAATAACAGTCAAGTCAGGGCCTCCTGGCTCGAATTTCAGACCAGCAAGGGATTCCCCACAGGGTTCTCAGGGCAAGGGGTCACTTGCCCCTCCGTGGTGGCCTCTGAATGCTATCCCAAGCCCCATAGTCCTCTCCATCCCCCTCTTCAGCAGCACCCAGGGAAGGATTTGGATTCATCAAGCTCTGGACATTGAGTCCGAGGACCCAAGCTCAAGATCAGACTCCTGCAGTTGCAGGCTGTGATTGTTGAGGCAAGTCCCCTATCACTTCTGAGCCTCTTTCTCCTCCTACAGTGAGGCCAATAACTACCTCACAGGACTGCTGGGAGGATTTCAAAACCCAGCTAATCACGGTGCTCAGCCAGCTATAAAGCACTGTTCAAATGAAACAGGTCCTGTCTGTGCAGAGAATCGATCACTGCGGCCTCCCCAGGCCCACCAAGAGCCTAGAACATGAGGCTCTCGGTGCTCACCGGATGGACTGACGGAAAGAGCTATTGTTACTTTATCTTGATCACGGCCATGGCAGACTTCAAGGGTGATCCTGCACCTCCAGCCTCAGCTCTCCCCTTGTTCTCTGCCTCTGCCATGTTCTAACTGGCCTCAGGTCCAGGCCTACCTGTCCCCAGCTGCCCAGGCCTCAGACCCAGCTCACCCAGCAGCCAGGGTCTCTGAAAGGTGAGTGTGAAGAAAGGGGTTTTCATGGTCGAGAGGGATATCTACCAGGGCTAGGGTCTGAGGCCTCTGCTCTGGGAAGGATCCCCAGACCACATGGGTGGCCTACACAACTTACCACATGTCAGCCTCCAGGCCCAGGGGCTCATAGTTCACAATTTCTGGAGCTGGAAGAAGCCATATTGAAGAGTCAGCGGTGCATGAAAATGGAAGAGATGGCCGTAGGGAATTATAAGGAGTTGGGTGTCAAATGTCTCCATTCTGAATCCCCACTGAGGAAAATCAGAGCAAAAGAAGGAGAAAATCTAGCTCTAAGAATTCTGAGGATGTTAGTTGCCTGTTATGCTGGTAGAAACCTCTTACAAAGAGGCCTTCATGGTGAGGACAAGGGAAAGCACGTACGAAAGTCTGGAAAAGGAAGAGGGAGATGAGGAGAGGAAGATGCAAGAAGGGAAAGTGGGGTCTACTTTAGAATTCTCTGGTGGAAACCAGTCAGGTCAGCACTGGAAGGTGACCGAGAAGACGGCAGAGAGGGAATCCGCATTCCTTGAGCCTGGTCTGAAAGAAGGTACCTCCCACCTGAGGGGCAGGAGGACATTCTGGGGTCTAGATGATGAGCTTGAAGTGCCTGAAGGCTCTCCAGGAAGAAGCTGGGCTCTGGGGAGTGGGCCAGAGCCATCAAACTTGGAGTCATCGTATAGGTGGAAACAGGAGTCGTGCAAATGATGCGGTGACCAGGAGAGGTGCGGAGTCTAGGAAAGAAGACTCTACTGAGAAGAGGAGACCAAATGCGGCCCAGAGGTCAAGCAGACAAGCACTGGCAAGTGAGTGCTGAATTTCACTCACTGCAGGGGCCAGAGAATGCCCTGAGTGTGGGAAGTGGAGATAAGTGTGTAGATGACTCTAAAAAAGGCTGGCTATGAAATGGAGGAGATAGAGGAGCAGAGGCTAGAGAGGAGAGGGACTGAGCCTGTTTCAGCACTAATGGAATAGGGCGGGGAGTGGGAAGGGCTAGGTTTGTTGCTCTAGATTCTAGAGTCTAGAACTATATCTAAGCCATCACATCTACAGGGTGCCCACCATCCCACCCTCCCATCTCTCCCCACTTCCAGACACAGGGAACCATTCTCCTGGCTTTGCTTATTTTTTAGCTTCATATAAATTATGTCATACTGCATGTGACCCGCCATCACTTGATTCCCCCCCCCCACTCAGTATTATGTTTCTAGTGTTCACTGAATGTTCATCCATGATCTTTCATTTTCACTGCTATCTAATTAATAGTCTATTGTGTGAATATACATATATTTTTAACTTATTCTCTTCTGAAAATTCTCAGCCAGTCTTTTAAAATGTTGTCTCTCTTGTCTCTGGTCTTTCCTCTGAGATCCCAAATAGACCTATGTTAGTCTTTTTTTTTTTATCCTTTCACTTATCATCTCATATTTCTATGTCTATCACTTTGTGGTACACTGGCTCATTTATTCTAGCTCAGTGTTCCAATTCTTCAGCTCTCTCCTCAGTAGTGTATACTCTGCTGTTTAGCCCATTCATTGAGTTTTACATTTCTGTGAGTATATATTGAATTTCTTAAAGTTCTATCTGGTTCTTTATAGAATTTGCCTGGTCGTTTTGAACACTCTCTTGTTGCTTGCTCGTTCTTGTGATTCTACCTTTTATTTCTATATACATTCCATTTATTTTATAGTCAACATCTGATCATTTCAATATCTTATGTCTTTGAACATCTAAATCTTGCTAGTCTTGCCTCAGTGTGGCTCAGTGGATTGAGCATTGTCCCATGGACTGAGAGGTCCAAGTTCAATTCCTGGTCAGGGCACATGCCAGGGTTGCAGGCTCAATCCCCATTGGGAGATGTGCAGGAGGCAGCTGATTGATGTTTCTCTCTCACATCGATGTTTCTATCTCTCTCTCTTCCTCTCTCTCTAAAAAGTCAATAAAACATATAAAAAATAAATCTTGCTAGTCTCCGATTGAAATGCTGACATGTGTACTTGCCTTTAGGAGAGGTCCTTCTATTGAACTTGCTGCTCACAGCTCCAGCTCTAAGTTCATTTCAGTGACTTTGGGGGTGGGACAGACAATGCTGAAGGAGTTACTGCCCTTACTCATTTCCTATGAGTTCAGAATTTCTTTAAAAATATTTTTTTTTTTCAAGAACCCAGTTTTGTACTGGAAAGGCTTTTGGAAGACCAGGTCCACCACACTCTTGGAAGCTGACAGTACATTTTTAACCCTAGGTCTCAGATTGAAATTTCAAAGAAATGACGGGGGTAAGGAAAATAGTTATAACCTGTTCCTCGGGGTTATAACCTGTTCACATTTGTAAAACTAGACCAGATGATCTGCAAAGAGCCTTCCAACACTCTTATTTGTTGGACAGATGTCTTGTTCCCACAAACTGGGCATCACAGTTTGGGCAGGGGCTTAGAGAAGCCACCCTACATACCTGTGAGGTACAAAGAAAACCAGTTTGGGGCTGGAGCTGGCTCATAAGAGTCAAATGTATACATCTCTTCCCAACTCTGAATTCAGTGACATGTTGATAGCTTAAAATTGGAAAATACTATAAATTAAGGTTTTGTTCTAAGGCCCAGTTGTTGGACATTTACAGTCATATCACTGGGCAAACATGCCAAAGTTTGGCCCTGCTCATTAATATCCTACTCACACAATCAGACTGTATGAACTCTCTGTTCCATCTAGAGTGAGCAGTAAATTGTCCCTGATAAATGCACTAAATCTGGCCCTATCCCCCTGCTATGGATGACTAAACCTGGGATGGGCTCCTCATATACCCTGGCTCCTTCCCCACCCCTCTTCAGACACTTCCCCCGCCCATAACAGCCCTTGTCCCTCTCTGATTCAAGACCTTGACTGATCCCATTGACATTGCTAGAATGGATATCTTGTTTGAACAGTCCTTGTCTATATCATTCTCTTTTCAATTAATCACATCCTGTCTTTTGGCCAATCATTACCCTGGCCTTCTAATCGAACCATTTATTGTTATTTAACACTTAGTATGACTTAACTAAATAAACATATACATTTTTACTACATATGTGAATGATGGACAGTAACTGCTGTCTCAGAAATAGATGTCTTTAATAATAGATGTCTTATGCCCCAGGTTCAAGCTGGCTCTGCCACCAACTCATTGTGTGGCCTTGGGTGTGTCATCCTGAATGTGGCTCCTTACCATCCTTGTGTCTGTCCCTAGTACCTCACCTACTATCTTGTATACAGAAGGTGAAGAATAACCTTAACGAAAATCCTCCAGCCCTCCAGTTTCACATTTGTAAAACTAGACCAGATGATCTGCAAAGAGCCTTTCAACACTCTTATTTGTTGGACAGATGTCTTGTTTCCACAAACCGGGAGCTCCTCAGGGCAGGGTCTCCTCAGAGAGACAATCCAGTATCGTGGACAGAGCATAGGCTTTGATGTCGGATGTATCTGTATTTGAATCTCAGCTCTACCACCTACTGGTGTTTTGTCCTGAACAAAGCTCTTGATAGAGGAAATAATTAAATCTGATCCATGAAGTGGTTTGAGGATTGACTGAGGTAATGTCTGTAGAGGTCCAGGCATAGCACTTGGCACACAGCAAGGGTCCCCAGCTGGTGGGTCTGTGAGGCCGCGGCAGTGCCAGTCCATAGTGACTGCAGCGCCGGTGTGTGCGGCCTGAGGACCCACCAGAGCCAGTGAGCTGACACATTCTGTCCTCCTTTTTGTTTAGACTGTGGTCAGAAGTTTCAGCTCTGGGTTTTGAGGAGACCATGCCCTCCCCCCATTTTCAAGACCACTCCAACTCCCAAACTCCCAAAGCACAGAGAAACAGTAGTTCTCAACTCTCATTCCTTTCCTCTTTGCAAGGCTGTTTCTTTATGACCCCAACCTGCAGCCCATCCCTCATAAGGGGGTTTCTGGGGCCTGGGCCAAGGGTGAGAGAAACAGAGGGGAAAGAGAGCTGCCAGGGCTCTGCTGCAGGTGGGCCTCCCAGGCACAAAGGACAGGCACAAGACAGGCGAGTGGGAGGATCCGCATCTGGCAGATGATTTTCCTGTTTCTTTTCAGAGAAAGTTGAATTTATGGGAATGCAAGAGGATGAGGTCATTTTACATCTCCACAACAATCTCATCTAAGAGCAGGAGGTGGGACCAGCTCTAGGAAGGTTTAACTGTGCAAAGGCCTCTAGCTCCACCTGGCCTTCCCAGGCCCCACTGGGTGCTTAAAGCCAACCCTGGACCCTCACCCAAAGGCCTAGGAAAACATTTCTTTCCCTACCCATTAGATTTCTAGGGGTCTCCAAGGCATCATCTTGTAACCCAGAGGCCATAGGCCCAGATACAGGGTTTGTACTAGGATTCTTTACCTTTTCATATTAGATTCTTAGCTGGGAGAGAAATAGGCTTAAAACTCACCAACAAATTCTGGTGTGCCAAAAATGTTCTTGAATTCAACTCCATCTTCTATTTCATGAGCCAGGCCAAAGTCAATTAGCTTGATGTGTGGAACGGGAATATTCTTGTCTAACAACATAATGTTTTCTGGCTGGAGAACAAAAAAACGGAAAGGAAAAAAAGATGGTAATTAAAGCCCTGTTTTGTGTTTTTGCTTTGGGGCTGGGGTGGGGTTTGGTGTTCCTTTTTTTGGAGACTAAAACAACATAAACTCTTTGTTGTTTTGTGTCCTCGGTCTTCTCCTGTGAACTAAAAAACAGGCACAGCTCTGAGGGCAAAGCCTGCATTTTACTAAACCTGCTGCTCACAGCAGAACTGGAGACTGACTTGAATCCCCTTTCTGTCTCTGAATGGCAGAGTCCTTCAGCGAGTGCAGTGCCTCTGCTCCCACCTGTCAACAGGGCCAGGGAGATACCTGCAGCATTTCTCGTAAACGAAACCACCTCCTCTGTGTGAATGTGTTGGGGGTCGGGGAGTCACAGCCAAACCACGATTTACACTTGGTTAACTGACCTTTGTCTCCCTGACCACCTCTTTCCCCTGGCGGGCCAGCTTCCTGTTGACAACACTCTTCTTCTCTAGGCTATAGATGTGGCTCACATGTCTCTATGTGTTTAACTCATTTTGGCCCTCAGCAGGACACAGGAAAAAATGGACCCAATTTCCAGGGAAAATACCAGCTGTCCAGGCTATTTCCAGCCAACAGTTGCCAGATCTGTCACAACAGTGCGGGTGTGCAGTGGTTGGGGGCCAGCCCTCCCCTGGCCTCACATACTCGGGTACTCCAGAGAAGTGAGACCAGGGTCCTGAGCCTACCCTTCCCGCTCCCACCCATGTGTCCGAGTACCCAGTAGGCGAGCAGGTCCCTTTGCTTCGCCCTCTTTCTTCCCACTCCCCACCGTGACTCTCTTAACCCCCACTGAAAGTGGGGTGTCCTGAAAACATACATCCACACAAACACTTGAACACAAATGTCACAGCAGCATATTTGTAACAGTCCCAAAGTGGACACAACACAAATGTCCATCAACTCATGGGTAGATAAACAAAATGTGGTGTATCCATATGGTGGAATACGATTCACCCATAAAAAAAGAACGAAGGCAAAAATAAATAAATAAATAAATGGAAAGGGCGGTGGTGGCAGCGGCAGAGGCGCGGGTCCAGCGGTGTGGGGATTGGCTGCGGCAGCAGAGACGGCAGGTTCCCGCGGCCCAGTAGCAGCTGGCCTGGCGCAAGGCAGTTGGCTTGGGTGCGATGGGCCGTGAGGGGTGTCCTTGGCTGTCCTGCCTTCCGCAGCCATTGCCACCTGCACTGCTGGGGCCAGGATGTGCCTCCACACCCCATGTAGCCTCCATCTCCGTGGCCGCAGCTCCTCTCGTCCACGGCACACAGTCCTTCAACCAGAGCCTACCCGGTGAAGCTCTCCATCTACAACCCGACCACCGGAGAGGTCTTGAGGCGCACCGCCCAGAGCTGGGGTTTGATCCTGCTCTTCTACCAAGTCATTTATGGGTTCCTGGCTTTATTCTTCACACTCTGAACCATGAGGTTCCAAAATATTGTGACCGGATTTCTGGTCCAGGACTTAATGGCTTTTCCAGAACCAGGGTCGGCACTGGAATATTCACTCAGTGTGTCTGGTCCAGAGTCCTATAAAGGGTGCACTGAATACCTTAAGAAGTTTCTAAAGCCATTTGCTCAGAAGAACAGAGGACTCTCACAGCCTGTCCTGACGGAACACTCTCTGATCAGAAGGGGCCAGTTGATGAAGCACGTCTGTTTCCTGTTGCCTTCCTTCAAACATGCAGTGGGGTGGATAACCTGGACACCCTTGTATTCTTGTGAAAACAAACAGAATAATTGGACTAAAGCCTCAAGCAGAACCTCTAGGATTCCTGAGGGTGAAAACACAACAACTTGATCAGCTTATCCTCCCAAGGGAAAACGCAGACTTAAAATATTTTCCAGCCCTGGCTGGTTTGACTCAGCAGTTAGAACATTGGCCTGCGGTCCAGAGAGACCCGGGTTCGGTTCCCGCTGAGGGCATGTACCTCAGCTGCGATTCATCCCTGGCCCTGGTTGTGTCGTGTGGAAGGCAGCCACTCGATGTGTCCCTTTCACGTCAATGTTTCTTTCTCTCTCTCCCTCCCACTCTATCTGAACAAAAATGGAAAAATGTCCTCGGGTGAGGATAAATATATAAATATATATATATATATATATATATATATATATATATATATATATTTTCCATATTATGGGGAAAAAATTGTTTGTTTGTTTGTTTGTTTTTTATCCTCACCCGAGGACATTTTTTCCATTTTTTGTTCAGATAGAGTGGGAGGGAGAGAGAGGAAGAGAGAGAGAAACATCGATGTGAAAGGGACACATCGAGTGGCTGCCACCCGCACGACCCAACCAGAGCCGGGGACAAACTGCAACCGAGGTACGTGCCCTTAGCGGGAACCGAACCCGGGTCTCTCTGGACCGCAGGCCGACGCTCCAACCGCTGAGCCAAACCGGCCAGGGCTATGGGGAAAAAATTGCATGTGAGGTATCTACAGCCATTTTTGCTATCCAGCTCAGCTTTGGTGTTAGCAGTACACCTAAAAAGTAACAGCTGAGTACAAGATAGTTGGATCACCTAACCTGAAAAACCATGATGATCGTGACAAATTTTTAGGACGAGCTGCGTTCAAAATCACAATGCAAGCATAGTAGGAATTACACTATCTCCACGGAGTAAAAGTTGTGCTGTCTGTGTTCACTTTGTTATCAGCTGAACCTGACATGCTAGAATTATGAGACCACCTGAGAGAAAGGCGGAGTGGTACATGACACTGGGTAACATTGTAACGTGCTTCCCAATCCTGTGTTCATTGTCCTCTGAAGTAACTGCCTGTTTCCTCTGCTGCCTTTGGAACCATTGTATAGTCACCAGATGGGGACTGTGAACACCTGCTTCTGAACATGGCAGTCTTGTCCTATTTTTATTATTGTTGTTGGTAATCCTCACCCGAGGATATTTTTTCCATTTATTATTTTTTTAGAGAGAGTGGAAGGGAGGAGGAGGAGAGAGAGAGAAAGAAACATTGATGTGAGAGAGACACGTCGATTGATTGCCTCCTGCACACACCCTAACCAGGCCAGGGATCGAACCTGCAACCCAGGTTCGTGCCCTTGACCAGGAATCAAACCCAAGACTCTTCGATCCATGGTCTGACACTCTAACCACTGAGCCACTCTGGCCAGGGCTTGTCCTATTTTTATGTGGTTTAACTCCAAGTGTCTCAAGCTTAATGTGCTGTGCTATGTAAATATTTTGTAGATTGAACAGTAGTTAACTGTCATATTTTGATGCCAGCAAAGTTTTAGGAATAAAATGTTACCTGAACAACATAAAGTGACTTTATAGCTGCAAAATAATGTAGTGTGTGGAGAAGTTCTATAGGTGAAGAGGAAGAAAGAAAATAAAAGTAGGTTTGAAAGGTAAGAAAGAAAAAAAAAAGAAAGTACTGATACACACGCTACAGCGGAGAAGAACCTGGAAAACATGCTAAGTGAGAGAATCAGTCACCAAACATCATGTATCACAAGATTCCATTTATACGAAATATCCTGACAAGGCAGATCCGTAGAAACAGAAAGTAGATTAGTAGTTGCCTTGGATTGGGAGAAAAGGGAGTGATCCGTAATGGGTACAGGTGTGTTTTTTTTTGGAGTGATAAAAATTTTCTAGAATAGATTGTAGTGTTATACAACTTTGTAAGTTGTACACTTTAAATGGGTGAATTGTATGGAATGTGACATATATCAAGAAAGCAGTTTTAAATAGATAAATAAATGTACAAATGTATATTTAAGAAAATTGAATGTCCCTCTTTCTCAAGCTACTGAAGTCCTTCCCACCTCCCACCTTGGCTCGCATCGTTTGCTCTACCTGGAAGTCCTTCTGCTCCATCTCGACCCACAGAAATCCTAGCCAGGCTTCAGAGTCTAACTCCCTCCACTCCTCCTGGAAAGCTTTTCACTGGCACTGAGCCCCCACCAACCCGCCACCAGAAGTGAACTCTCCTTGCCCCAGGCCTCCTTGTGCTTTTTTGAGCCTTTTTGCTAGGACATCTGTCACGCTCTCCCTTGTCCAACAGTCCTCGCTGTCTCTGTCCTAGCTCCCCTACGGGGCCCTCGGCTGGAGGAGGGATTCAGGTCTTTGCTCCTCGCCCCTGCGGCGCAGGGCACAGAGGCTGGCAGGCTGACGGTGGCCCTCTCTGTCAGCTAAACCGATTCTGATTCTGGACTGCATACACCCAGGTGCCCCCACCCAAACCTCCCAGCACCCTGACATCTCTGTGCTGTCATATCACAGTGGCTGGAAACTATCATTCAAGTGAGCTGGCTGAGGGACCCCCCACTTTTAAACATTTCCTTTTGCATTTTTTAGGTTTATTTTTTCCCCTCTGGAAATGTCTCTTGACTTTATTTTGAAATGTGTCCAAGTCCTTTCTCAAGGCAGAACAGAGTGTTAGGCTCCACAGAAAGGAGAGTTGGGACTCAGGCAGGAGGCCTCACTCAGTGCCCCTGACCCACTTCTCCGGCAGCTGCCCATGGACCCCTAGTGTCCGGGCACCCTGTGCAGTGAGCTGCAGCCTCCTCACTGCCCACCGTCTCCTGGGCAGGTGGCTTCTCCTCCTACTATTGCACCACATTCTTTAGCTGCCCTATTAGGAACTTTCCCTCTCTCCCAGGGAATGGCCCTGAGGCTCATCTCTGAAGCCAAGAGGCTAGGACCCCAGTTCCTCCTGATCACCACAGTGTGCTCAAGGCCCAAGCACCACCACACAACATGCACTGGAGCGGGGTGGGAGCCACAGAGGCAGACACACCAGACCTGGTGATCCTCAGGACTAGCGGGCAGTAGGGACAGGGGTGGGGAATGACGGGAAGGAAGGAAGAACAATTGGAGGCTGCACCACCCCAAGCCCCACCCCAGCCCCACCCCAAGAACCTAACACACAACAGGTGATTTCCCTGCTTGGAACACTCTTCCTGTACAGTTTCTACCCCAACCCAGGCTGATTCCTATTTGCA